GATCCCGTCGCCGGGCGGGCTGCAGCGGGTGTGGGTGCCCGCAGAGGGTCTGCGTGTGTCTGTCTCCTTCTCTCTGTCGTCCTCCTTCCGTGTCGGAGCTCTCCGTCTTCTTTAACAAACTCTCTGCCTTGCTTCTCCCTCGCCCCCCGGGCTTCTGCTTTGTGGATGTTGGCGGCTTCTTGTTGTGACAGGAGAATGTGTGTGTGTCCTGGGCCCAGGCGGATCGGTAGGTATCTCGCACCGGTGGAGCGCCGGGCTCGGGGGTCGGATGGGACCCAGGGAAGGGACTGCCAGGCTGGGCTGTGTCTGAGGGCTGAGACCCAGCTGGAGGGAAGGATTAACGGTTCTGCTTGTGTTGAATGTTTCTTGTTCCTCCTTCCCCACTCCCCGTCCTCTCCAACAGGCTTATTCATTCAGATCTGTCAAGTGTGTGAAGGGCACCTGGGGTAAGTTTTTTTTGACTGAAGCCATGGGTGTCTTTGGCACCGTTAAGGCAGATGTTCTAGAGGAACCTGTCTGTGCAGCATCAGTTGGCCTTAATAGTACAGTTATAAGAAGCCTTTACTAAAGGAAGGGGTAATATTTTTTCCCGTTTTACCAGTGTAGTGCTACAAAAGCCGTAAAATGGCCAATAATGAGTCAGATGGTCAAATTATATTTGTAGCTGGAAAACTAGCAGTTGTACCCTGTTCTGGGCTTGGAGAGGTATTTAATACTGGCTTGATTCTACTCTCTTGACAAATCTTGATTGGATTTTAACGTTTCTACTTAATCTCTTTTTCTTCTCTGCCATCTCTTGATCAACCATAATGAACTTGGGATCTTAACATAATTATTTAAAGGCTAGTTGGAGTGTCTGGTTATATTCGGGACATCGATGTTGTGGGGATAATTTCACTTCAAGTTGGCAAACTTGGAATTTCTCTTTTACTTAATCACCTAGGATTTGTTAAATCTGGTATGTGAAACAGACTGATATCTTAAGCTGACATGATCTACTGTAAATGATATAGGCCATGGAGAATTTAAGGCTAGCTTCTTATTACTTCCTTGATAAACCAATGATTACAAATCAGCAGAATATCCTGTGGTGGCACTGCAGAGCCACTATAACAGCGGTGCATTTGTATTTTTGCTTTATCATGGATCAACAGCAAAACTGTCAGAACAGTTGTTGTGGCACTGTGTATGGGTCAGTACTGAACACACATGCTTAGCAGTCAGGAGAACTTGATTCAGTTGGAGTCTAATGGGAGACCAGCTCTGAATCTGTGGTACTGCCATACACCAAGCACATCTGTCGCACCTTGAGATTCCTGTTCTGTAAGCGACATTGTTGCTTTTAAATGTCATGTGAAGAAATATACATAACTGTTACCAAAATAGCTCCCTTATAATTAGTAGGCAGTGAATAGGTTTTAAAAATCTATATTTGGAGTTGCAGTTTACTTCTGTCATGCTATATGTATGTGAAGCCTGGGCTGGAGAAATAGTCTTTCTGGAAGCAAATGGCCAACACAAATTTAGTATGCATCTTGAAGTTCAAGGTAATGCACTGCTGATGAGTGCCTGGACAGCTGTCTGTAGTCCACAGGACTACAGCCAGAGCTCTTCCTGGTGGCTCAACAGCAGAAAACTGGCCAGTTCAGTCTTCATAGTGCTCAGTGGAAGACCTGGGAGAGGTCAATGTAAGTCAAGACTGACAGTCACTCATTAACACTAGGAAGCCAGTGGAGTGGTAGAAACGCAAATTCTATTTTGCTTTCAGCACTTATGTATCTTGTAACAGAGAAGTGGGCTCCACTCCTACTTAATTAAGGAGAACATGTAAGCTTTGAGGGAAGAGTGTGACTTCCTTCCTTCTCCTGTAACACAGAGAACAGAGTGAAGCTTCGTATATTTCTGGACACTTCTCAGCTGGTCCGAGTGATCAGAATCCTGTGGCAGAAGCTATGGAAAGCGTACTGAATAGGGTGGTTGAAGAGTGCAATTCCTCCTATGTTGCATGATCCTTTAGATTGAATATTGGAACTTACTGCCTGTTCTATAGGGGTTGTGTCTCATCTGAAATACTGGTATGTGCCTGCTTGGCTAAAAAAATAACCAATTTAGTGACTGAAACACTTCTTGCAACATAGCAGTATCTGTTTTTTCGGTAGAACTACTAAATCTGAGATACAGTGGTGCTGATAGACTAGTACTTATGACTGCAGTAAGCCTTGTTTAAGATTATTTGTAATGGTCTTTTCTAAGAAGCTTTCATGAAACTTGATCGTACAAGTTGGAAAGAGAAAATTGAATTCCCCTTAACTGTATGTACTTCACACAAGGCACAGTTCAAATTTTTTTTCCCCACTGTGGAATTGTTTTTTTCAGGTATGACATTATAAAAGACTTCCTGTTAACGAGGCATAGTGAATAAGGGATTTAAGAGGCACTCACACTAGTGTTGTGATTGAGTATTTAAATAGAGACAAGGAAGAGTGTTGGAATAATCTTTCTTCAGAGGAATGAAAAATTAAAAGAAAGGCTTTTAGATGTGGCAAAAAGTACAATACTTTTCTTGGATACTACATCTTGGATACTAAACTTAGCAGTTTATCTTAACAGTGAACTAGTTTTACACTATTGTGCAGAGTTCTGTAATAGTCATGGAAGCAAACACAGCTTGCATGTAATCTTTCAACTGAGTAGCTGTTAAAAGCATTTTATAATCTAAAATTTACTGGGGTAGATCAGCTGTTGGTAGGAGAGATGCATCTGCTTTCTACCTCTTGTATTTTTATCTGATAAGCTGGAAAATTGCGGCATAGACTGCTGTGGTCAATTTGTGTATATTCACCATGGTGTCACACAAGTGTGAAGTTTTACATGTGAAAGGGGGGAGAAGAAACAAAACCTGCTAAATAGTGTCTGCGCTCTCTGACCTACTGCTTGCTTTTATTGTCTAAACTATCTTCATCTTAAAGCCAGTTGTACATCATCTCAAAGGTTTCTTGTATCTTGCTGTTAGATGCTTTATCTCTTCTTCAGCCTTATAGAAAGAGTTTTTCTCCCTGTGTGCCATGTCTGACTCTGCCAGCTGGGAAATCATCAGGAAAACAAATCTCTGTTAAAGTCTTGTAGAAGGTGGCAATACTGTACAGTGTTTCGTGCTAACTGTTATCTTAAGTTCTGTTTGAAGCTGCATTGTCTGTCTGGATGATGTTTTCACTTCCTGCCTGCTATAAGAGCTAAGATACCTATGCTGAACTTCAGTATGGTATAGCTTTTTTGTTATAGCCCAATGTGGTGTTTATGAACAAGCACCACCTAATGCCTTTTCTTAAGACTTGTGAAGCTGTGAACTCCGTATAATAAACAAGTTTGTTAGGGGCTGTAAATGTCTTAACACAGAAGAAAATGTTAGCTGTCCCCCTAAGCATAGTTGTTCTCTTGTCTTTCAGCAATTCCAGTCCGAAGCTCCAGGCTACCATTGTTGTCTGATGCCATGCCAGCACCAGCTCATCTGTTTCCATTGATTCGTAACTCTGAGATTAGCAGAATATGCAGTACTGTGTGTTACTGCCACCATAAACATCTGTGTTGTTTGTCATCTCATTTTGCCCACGGTCACTTCAGATATGCACCTCAGAAGAAATTTGCGGCACTTTATAGGCCAAAGGAGAACTTGGATCACTTTATTCACGTGAGAGATTATGCTTCTACACCACAGAGATTTTACCTTACTCCTCCACAGGTCAACAGCATTCTGAAGGCAAATGAATACAGTTTCAAAGTCCCAGAATTCGATGGTAAAAATGTAAGTTCTGTTCTTGGCTTTGATAGCAACCAGTTGCCTGCTAATGCTCCAATAGAAGACCGGAGGAGTGCTGCAACTTGCTTACAGACAAGAGGGATGCTTCTGGGTGTGTTTGATGGCCACGCAGGCTGTGCTTGTGCTCAAGCTGTCAGTGAAAGACTGTTTTACTACATTGCTGTCTCTTTATTACCTCATGAGACTTTACTTGAGATAGAAAATGCGGTGGAAAGTGGCAGAGCTCTTTTGCCCATTTTACAGTGGCACAAGCATCCCAATGATTACTTTAGCAAAGAGGCTTCCAAGCTTTACTTCAATAGTCTGAGAACTTACTGGCAGGAGCTGATTGATCTCAACAGTGGAGAGACTACTGATGTGAAAGAAGCTTTAATAAATGCTTTTAAGAGGCTTGATAATGATATTTCTTTGGAAGCTCAAGTTGGAGATCCAAATTCTTTTCTCAATTACCTAGTACTGCGAGTAGCATTTTCTGGTGCAACTGCCTGTGTGGCCCATGTGGATGGTGTTGACTTGCACATTGCAAACACAGGTGACAGTAGGGCAATGCTTGGGGTTCAGGAAGAAGATGGATCTTGGTCTGCAGTTAATCTGTCCTATGACCACAATGCACAAAATGAACATGAAGTGGAACGGGTGAAAATGGAGCATCCAAAGTCTGAAGAGAAAAGTCTTGTGAAACAAGATCGTCTCTTGGGTCTCCTGATGCCTTTCAGAGCTTTTGGTGATGTGAAGTTTAAATGGAGTATTGAACTACAGAAGAGAGTAGTAGAATCAGGCCCTGATCAGCTGAATGACAATGAATATACAAAGTTTATTCCTCCAAACTATCACACTCCTCCGTACCTCACAGCTGAGCCAGAAGTCATACATCACAGATTGCGGCCACAGGATAAGTTCCTGGTTTTGGCCACAGATGGACTGTGGGAGACGATGCACAGGCAAGATGTGGCTAGAATTGTAGGGGAGTACCTCACTGGTGTCCCCCACCACCAGCCAATAGCTGTTGGTGGCTATAAGGTAACTTTGGGACAGATGCATGGTCTCTTAACAGAAAGGAGAGCAAGAATCTCTTCAGTATTTGAAGATCAGAATGCAGCAACACACCTGATACGTCATGCCATGGGTAACAACGAGTTTGGCACCGTGGATCATGAGAGACTGTCCAAGATGCTTAGTCTTCCAGAAGAGCTGGCTCGAATGTATAGAGATGACATTACAATTATCGTGGTGCAGTTCAACTCGCATGTTATAGGTGCATGTCAAAATGAGGAACTGTGAATTTCGGTGAAGTGAACTACTTACCAACGTTGTAACAGTGGCCAGTATGAGCAGCGAATAAAAAAGAACCACACAACAATAAAACCCAAAAAACTCCTCAGCAAACAAATTGCTTGCTTGCTAGATTCAGCATATCTATTGTTCCTGCCTTCCCCCAGAGCTCTAAATTCATGGGAAGTGCTATTGACCTAATACAAACTTGAAGAGGATGTCACAGCTTGGGAAAAGAGGTTTTTGTAATAACTTTGCACTATTGATTTCATGAATGCTGCTAGAACAATGTCTTGAATTTGGGAAACTTGGAGGAGGGAGGGCGGATAAAGAATTAACTATCAAAGATCTGGCTGTTCAAGAAACAAAGCCTGTTTATAAATATCTGTAAATATCCATGTGTTATCTTAAAGAAAAGATGAGTAAAAAGGAGTATTGTTGAATTCTTACAGAACTATTTCTTGCAAAGTAGATATGGTTATTTGTGAATATATTGTCTACCGTTTCTTCTAAGCAGAAGGTCACTTTAACCAAGTCAGTCTTCAGTGTAACAAAGCTGTCTCATACAGACAATGTCATTCACTTAAGGATATTTGTCTAAGTGTTGACTTTCAATGCAGGTCTAAGCCATAATCAGTACCTGGAATTCTATTACAGCTTAATCATATCTTATGCATGGTAATGTCTAAACTTCTTGTGCATTAATAGTTCCTTAGCTGTGGGTTTCTGCACAACTTGTAGGGCAATAATACATTACAACATGCAGTAAGATACCAGATAACTTTGTGGAGGACTTCAGTTTGCAGTATGAAGAAACTTTTGGACTTTTCAAGAAGTCAGTGGTGTTGGTCAAGACTGTGTTGGCTTTCCTAAAGGTCATGTCCTTCATGGACTCTACCCCTGTCTGGTGTTACTTATCTGGTAAATAAATTGTCACCTGAAGAGATGAGGAAATCATTGCTAACCTCCTTGTGGCTTTGTAATTTGCACTCATTTTCACTTTGGCTATTTCAAATGGTCACATATTGGATGTCTTGCACTTGAACTCATATTTGTAAGTCAGGTTAAAAACTACAGATTACAAAAAAAATCAAAGTATGGCTTGTAAGTAGTGTTTTAGTTGGGAAACTAACTGGCATGCATGTGTATTTTTAATGGCTTTTTCTAGCAACTTCATTGTTAGCAGCTCTGTATTTCTGGACAGCTGATACATGCATGTTCTTACAGTCCAGAATGCTCTCACAGAGCAGTCTCTGAAGTGGATCTCTCTGGCTTGTGTAATGGTTGAGTTTGAGCTTAAAAGATTGGCTATAACTTGTGTGTCTGAAGTTGTTGGGCTTGTAACTGTAAAAAGTAGGGACTGACAACTAATTTCATGGTCATCATTGCATCAAAGTATGTTGCATTGTATACAGATTTATCTTAACCTGCCCATAGGTTAAAAACTCAAATGCTGGCTGAAATACCAGCCCTTGCTGACTTGGAGAACACATGTAACTTGATTCTTGTGTTCTAGAGAACAATGATGGGTCAGCATATTTCACTTTACCAAGGTGTTTCAGTTAAAATACCTCCCTAGCCTTCATCATAGCTAATTAAATCAACACTTTAAAAACCTAGCTTGTTTTGGTTAATTGAGTAATGTGGCATTTTCTACTAAATACAGATATTGCCAATTAATGCTACTTTTACATGGGGTATACTTAGTTTGAACACAGAACCTGTGCTGTAGTAAATGTTGGCTCCTCAAACTCACAAATGCTATGTGTACTTAGTGGCCTGCAGCTTTAATATGTCTGTATCTTTCCTCAACCTTAACTTTCAGGATCAATGTTGCTGAAAAGTTAGTGATACCTAAGTTCACATTCAAGATGTGCACAACCCTTCTTTATTTGAAGTGAAAAGGGGAACTCTAAAATGCTTAGACAAGTACTGGCTGTTGACATTGCTTCTGTATGTCGTATTTTGGTGACTGTGTCATTAGCTAGGTCATTGGACTTTATGTTCTGTCATTCAAATACAGTGTGTATCTAAGCTGTTGCAGTATTTAACTTTCTTACTTTTTTTACTGTTAAAGCTCTATTACATGTATTGATGTATTTAACCTATGATTATTGATATGGATTTGGTACAAGTCATAGCTAGAAGAAATGAACATTGGTCCCATGGATACAACTTTTATTGAGGAAAAGCTGCGTTTTGTAGTAAAGATGCATATGTATGGGGTCAGACAAAATAATATTTATGTATTGCTTGGAGACTTGCTCAATATGTATTCAGTGAAGAGAAGCAGCATAACTGCCTGCTTTTGCTGAACAGGTGATCAGAACAAACATCTTTTAACAGATTCCAATAAAATGATCAATTATGCAGAAATCCATGTGTGTTGGAATGATACAGAATGTGATAGCTATTCTGCTAGGGCTGAAGCTTGTGGATGACTTGTGTTTCAAGAGTGTTCTGTTGTATTGTCCCTGTTATGAATAGACTAGATGGCCAAACAAAGCAAAGTATAAATGGAAACAGACTGAGCATTGGACTTCAGAGCTCTTAAATGCCACTGTGAGGCTTGAACCCCTGCAT